TCAGTCATTTTTGGTTCGATGAAATGTCTTATATTCTCAGCAGATGGCCGCTCACACTGAGCCTGGTTCTGCTGGAGGTTTCTTCCTGTTCAAAGGGAGTTTTTCCTCTCCACTGTCGCTACAAGCATGCTTAGTGTGAGGGATTGCTGAAGAGTCAATGAGTCTATGCAATCAGCTGGTTTTCCTTAGATAGAAAACTTTGAACCAATCTGACTGGATGATCTGGTTGAACTGGATCTATAAAGTGAGATGACATGATGTGTCGGCTGCATAACTAAGAGTCTTCCGATCCGACCGGACCTCGCGGCACCATGATAAAACATGAGCATAAACACCAGCAGATGATCTCGTATTCAGAACTTCATTTATTCACAGTTTAGGAGTATGAGAATATTTCACTGCTTCAGGCTCAGAGGCGCCGTTATCCCAACATTTCCACCTTAAACACCAACAGAAAACTATATTATAAGAATCATTAAATAGAAACTGATAGAGGAGGAAAACCAGAACTCCTGGTTCTCTAGATGGTTCTGATCACATCCTGCAGTTTATTCTCCAACATCTGGATTCCCTGACCACCGACGGCTGACGGATCCATCAGCAGAGCACCGTCACAGGAAGGCTCCGGGGTTCGCTCGGGGGTCCTTCAGGTTCCGGTATTTATGGGTCAGCCAGACTCCAAGGACCTGAACAAAATGACAGAAGCTCTGAATGTTTGCTGGCGGACAGCGCTGGTTCTGGAGACCCAGACTGACCTCAGTGAAGCTGAAGAAGAGGCCGATGCCGCCCACGAAGCGCAGCACCTCGCCGGCGTAGCTCTGCAGGATGCTGGAACAGGGTCTGCAGGTCTCATGGGAGGTCGAGCATTTCTGGACAGGAGGAAGGAGCTGTTAGCAGAGCACAGACGGACCGAGCCCCCTACAGACCCACCGACCGGTTCTACTCACCGCGGCGCAGGAACTGTTGAGGTTAACGGCGGAGAAGCCACAGCAGTTCAGCGTTTTCTCCACGTCCTTTTGGGTCGTCTCGGACTTGTTCCAGCCGACCTCCAGCAGCTGGTTCTGGACATCAAACAACATCCAGAAAGGGTCAGTCCGTCTCCATGGAAACAGCATCCATAGAGAAGCAGGTTCTAGTCCAAACACCAGCTGGACCTTCAGCCGTGAACCGGGCCCACAGCATGACACCGCCCCTGCAGGGCCTGGCTAACCACTGGGCTGACGGCAGGAGGAGCGGTTCTGGGTCGGTACCGTCTAGGACCCGGCCCAGCTCCTCAGAACCTGGAAGCTTTGCAGATTAAATGTGAAGAGAAGTGGATGGGACTCACCTGCTGGTCGCTGTTCAGAGCCAGGCAGGCGCAGGAGATGGAGAACTGCAGGACGAAAACTAGAAACAGGATCATCATGTACTGCTTGAGGCTGAGGAGAACGCCGGAGAGGAACCATGGAGCTACAGAGCAGAACGAACGGCAAAGGATACGAAGAAGAGCAGCACCTGCTGGTGCTTCAGGGCGCCGCAAAGCCCCACGAAGGCCACCACCAGGAGGAAGACGCCCACGCCGATGACCCCCGCCACCACGCTGATGCTGGAGACCAGGCCGAACCATTTCCCCCAGGCCGCCACGCCGATCAGCAGCAGGCTCACCAACTGAGGGCGGAAGGAAACATTTAGGCAGCGAGCCGCCTTCGGTCTGAGGCTGACACCAACCATCAGGATCTGTCCGTTAATCATCAGACAGCCGAAGGTTCCATAAAGCGGTGATAGAATGATTCTATCTGGGGTGATAGAAT